AGCAGAAGTTCGAAAAGAAAAATACATGAAAAAAAAGATTGAAGGGGAATATTGGTAATAGGAATGATGGACAAGAGGAAAGGTAATCTTTTATTGTGGTTGCTATCACACCATGGACCTGCCTTCGGGCAGACTACCATTTATTATTATTATTATATACAAGATAGTATAGGGTGTATATGAAGATAGTATGGAATATAAAAATAAAATGTTCTAGGTGGCTATAAATGCTCTAATTATAAGTGAGCGAGGTCAATAAAAATAAATGATTTTTTTTTAATATTAAAAAAATTGGGGATGACTGAATAAAATAAGCTTTAAAATAAGAGGAGTAAGTGGTAACTTCTTCAAATAAATTACGAATGAAGCAGGATTTTACATTCATGTATAAAACAATTGTCCATAACAATAAATAAAAACCATTCTATCCAAATAAATTCGCTGAAAGATTATATGACCTTCTTCACAAAAAAATATTTAATTTGATATCCAAATTAATAATACTATCATCCCATAAAGTAGCTGGATGTTATGTTAGACAGAAGAAAGTGGCCCAAAATTATAAACAGAAAATATGTCATCATCCAAATAAATAGACAAGATTGTACAACCTCAAACAACCTATTTAGACTCAAATGAACAGGTTTTATAAAATTAACGTTTTATAAAAACAGCTTTAGTTAGTTGGCAGTGTAATTGTATTAATTAAATTATTATTTTTTATTTTGTAATGGAATATTTATATTGTCTTTCAATTATATGTAAACATTTGGGTGCTATAGGTCAACTCATAAAAAATCATTTGTAGTACATATTATCACTCCAAAAACTAAATGTGTTTATAAGGCAGCTTGAAATTTATATTGAAATAAAAAAATAAGTTTGGAATTGCTTTATATATAATATATAAGGTAAAGCTTTTTCTATTTCAAATAATATGAAATGAACGTAGGTCAAGATCTAAGAGGTGTATATCAAGACAATTTCGTTTATTAAATTAGAATTTTTCAATAATAAAGTTATCAAATATTTTACCATTACACACAATCCTGATTAAATGCGCCTCAATATTTTGATGGAACTTTCCAACACATTTAATACTTTTTTTATTGTATTCAGACAAACATAATTGCAAAATATTACATAAATGGCCAATCTTTTCACTATCATTACTACATAAGTTTGAACAAAATGTCTATAATTCACCTATTTTTATTTCCAAAATAGATCTCCTCTGTACATTATACTGTCAATTACATCACATGTATCAGTTATCTGTGTATAAATTTTTGATTAATTTAGCCCATTTTCCGAGCATTTTATGCAACCGTTCTAATTTTAGTTTATAGATTTGATTTTTAATCATAATCCAAATGTGCTCGCGTTCTGTATTCATACATAAGAGATTCGTTATGTAAATGAACTGATGAAATATTCTTCATTAAACATGAAGTAATAATATGACATAACTGGAATAACAATGATCTCTTGCGGCTGTGTTGAAATTTTAAAACTATATAGTTAGTTGCTCAAAGTATATGCAAAATATATTTTACGTTTTGTATTGTATTTGAGCCTGTTTGTGGTTTAGTGATAACCGAAGGCTTCGAATTGGATACCCACCTACGACAACCTGGTATCAAACAGTAGTGACATTGGTTTTCACTTGAAAATGTAGATCGCATTATATTTGCAAGTGAAAATAGCTTTTCTCCAATTGCTGCCTCAAATTAAAACAGCTCAATGAACTCAAAGAATAAAGGACTGAAGTTCTAATGACCAAAACTGAATTATCTCAAAATCCAAACTCAATTCGTGGAAAAAACCATTTACTTGTATTGAGATGAAGAAATTATTAAATTTTTGGGAAGGCAGGTCTAGCGGTTTCGGAGATCGATTGATAAAAGTAAAATAAAAGCTATTTGGCGGTCAAAAATGATCATTAGACATATGACATGAA